GAAATGATTTCAAACTTTATCTAATAACAAACTTATATAACACATTTTTACAGGTAATGGGTTTTTTATAACAAATGACCTGTTTACGTTACCGAAGCTATATTTTTTATAAAAAACCGTATTTTTGATTTTTACTGAAAAATGGTTAGAGTTACAGGTAAAAAGTTAATATGATTTTTATAGGAAAATTTCCTATAGTAATCGTATTATAGCTTTGGAAAAAAATATTTAAAAAATAATCCAAGTAAGAATAATGAGCCATTCTTGCTGTCTGGTTCGAATATCGTCTCAAGTCTCGTCTCGAAAACAAGACAAGACCATGCGACTCTCGTTGGCACCACTAATTCTAATTGTAATTCCAAAATTATTTTTATTTATAATCACAATTTTGTTTTTTGTTATAAATGACAGCTTCAAACAAAAAATATTGTTATTATAATACCAAATTATTTACTAATTAATTAATTACAATATATTTGTCCTATATTATTAAAATTGTTACTCAACCCCTTCATCCACTTGCCTCTTTAAGTGCAATAAAATGCATAGTTTAAAAGATATAAAGCATTTAATAAATTTTACTATCAAATATTGATAAACTTATATTATAAAATATATTGTTTTACCGTAAAACTTTTACGGCACAACGGTTAAAGGTACAGGTAAAAAGAAAATAAAACCTTTATAGAAAATTTAATTTCCTACAAAAATAGTTTAATGCATTCATTCAATAAAATGTGTAGTTTAGAAGATATGGTACGAAGGCGTAGAAGGGCCAACAAAAATTTTACAAATTTTAGCCAAAACTAACTTTGATTTTTGCAATTTCTATTCTATAATTGTAACTTGAACTTACAATTGTAACTTGAACCTACAATTGTAACTTGAACTTACAATTGTAACTTGAACCTACAATTGTAACTTGAACCTACAATTGTAACTTGAACTTACAATTGTAACTTGAACTTACAATTGTAACTTGAACCTACAATTGTAACTTGAACCTACAATTGTAACTTGAACCTACAATTGTAACTTGAACTTACTATTTTAACTTGAACCTTAGACTGGGCCAAAAAAATCAACTTTTTTTTTTGAAAATATGGTATATTAAGGTCTATCATCGCAATTTTAATATTTTTTTCCTCAGCAAGTTTTTGTCTCAGAACTCCCAAACCATTGAGTTTAACAAAATTGGCTTGATAATATTATTTTAAGAAAATTAAATGCTCTACAAAAAAGGTTAAAGTGAAATTTTCCGTCAGATGGACCGTTTCCTGAAAATCATGCCTTAAAAATTGGTCTACTTTTACATTTTGATCTTTTAAATTGGAATTTTGTAAAAATCAGTACCCATAAAAAACCGATAAATATTAATATATTTTTATGGGAAATCAAATGCTTTACAAAAAAGCCTATTGACATTTTTGGCTAAATTCACTCAATCAAAAGTTATTCAAGGTTAAAATTTCGTTTTGAATTCAAATTTACCCTTGAATACCTAACTTTTGATTGAGTGAATTTAGCCAAAAATGATAAAAGACTTTTTTTGTAGAGCATTTGATTTTCCATAAGAATATTTATCATTTTTTTTTCAGGGTACTGATTTTTACAATAATTACAATATTGAATATTGTAATTAATATTGAATATTGTAATTAATGTAAAAATCATATTGAATATTCCAAAGTTAAAAGATCAAATTGTAAAACTGAACCAATTTTTAAGGCATGATTGCAAGAAAACGGTTCATCTGACGGGAAATTCCAATTTAACCTTTTTTATAGAACATTCAATTTTCTTCAAAAAATATTCTTAGGTCAATTTTGTTAAACTCAATGATTTGGGAGTTCTGAGACAAAGACTCGCTCAGGAAAAAAAATCTTAATATTAATAATATGGACTCAAACTTTCACAATATTTTTTTTTGTCACCCCAAACCATATTTTCGATATACTTTTCAAAAAAAATAGTTGATTTTTTTGGCCCAGTCTATTGAACCTACAATTGTAACTTGAACTTACAATTGTAACTTGAACTTACAATTGTAGGTTCAAGTTACAATTGTAGGTTCAATTTACAATTGTAAGTTCAAGTTACAATTGTAAGTTCAAGTTACAATTGTAGGTGCAAGTTACAATTGTAGGTTCAAGTTACAATTGTAAGTTCAAGTTACAATTGTAGGTTCAAGTTACAATTATAGAATAGAAATTGCAAAAATCAAAGTTAGTTTTGGCTAAAATTTGTAAAATTTTTGTTGGCCCTTCTACGCCTTCGTAATATGGAGCATTTAATAATTTTTTCGGGCAACTATTGATAAATTATTTAGTTTTATCAAAATTTGATAGTTAAACTTATTAAAGGCTTTATATTTTATTTTATTGGGTTAATGCATAAAATCTTTTTTAAAGAAAATTAAATTTTCTATAAAAGTAAATTATTTATAAAGTTTTATAAACGCCATTTTAGTTAAGAGTTTAATTAAGCACAAGGGAAGCTTGCAACTGTCACCCGAATTTAACTTCACTTTTTTCTTATTTATAATAAAGCTAACTTCAGCCCGTGACTAAAAACGTTAAAAGCCACTAGTTCAAACTTCAGCCCGTGACTAAAACGCGATAAAGTTAAAACTCGTCAATGTAGGAGTAGAAAAAGGTCTTTAATTTTAACCGTTTTGCTCTTAAAATACTGTTTTTTATTAAAAATATGACTTTGGTGACGTATACACTGTATACTATACAGGTCGAAAATATAGGTTCTATTAAAATTGTACTTTTGAAGAGCATTTATATGGGTGATTCTACAAAAGTTGGACAACTTGATGTGATGATCAGTCAATAGAGTAAGTATTTTAATATTTTTTGTAAATATTTTAGTATATTACAAAAGATCCAGGTTTTTTTAACTTGTCCACCCAATTTTAATGTATTATTTAAAAGCAAGTTTGTAGAAAAACATAATAAATATTCAAAACATCAGTACCTTGGCGTGTCACAACTCCTGAATCAAATATTTGAGTGATTTTATTTTAAAATATATTCAATTTATCTTAAATTTTTCAATTTCACTACAAACCATAAAACATTAAATAATGTATTTTTCATAATTTATCATAGATTCGAATAATAGCAATTTTTAAAAAATTTATAATCTTTGTACTCACTTTTACCCGTCAGTCCTGTGTCCAATGTTAAAATTCAAAATTCCTGCGAAATATTGAATTTTAAACGTCAAGTCCTCGTTTTAACTCAAGTGTTGCACGACAGTCAACTTGAAAACAATGCAAGCGGCGAAGTTGTGGTGAATGCACGTATAGTTCCAGTAAAAATTTCAGTACTGTGGTGAATAGTTATTTTCTTACGTATATATATTTCATTGTAATTTATATAAGGCTAAATGTGATTTGTTGATCAGTTCCATGTTCGATGTTTCGGTTATCTTTTTTTCGCAAACTTCAATTTAAATTATGCTTGCGCAGAACTTTAATGTCATTATAAACTCATATAAATTTGGTGTGGGATATCGGTATACCCAAAATCCACCAGCCCCCACTGATGTGTGGTATTATTTGATTTTAAGATATTTAATGTATAATATGCTCAAAGTTGCAATAAATCTTATATTTTCCAATAAATTATGTATTTAATTAGTACCCTGGTATACTCGTCAATTCCCTTGCATTCAAATTTAGAAAACACAGATATTTCAAAAACTGTTTGAAAAAGTAACTAGCCCGGTCTGGAACGGTATATTAATTATATTATCTATGTTCTCATAACAAAATACTGTTTAATTTTCTCCGAAAACTATATAGATAATTATAATTATGTACAAATTATACCAATGTAAATTGTAGTAGCGTAAAATACAGCCAAGCTATAATAAATTGGAAAAAAATTCTAAATTTTCTGTTTTCAATGAGAAAACTTTTAAATTAAAATAAAAAAGTACTTTGTTTTAAAATTAAGGGCTAAAACTTTAAGAAATTTTTGTTCTTAATATGTAAAGGGTGATCCCCTATAATGTCGCCCCCCTTTAACTTTTTTATTTTAAGTGTCCCAAAAAATTTCAAAGTGTGGTTATGTAGGTACTAAAAAATACTTTTTTTCTACGTATAAAGAAAATTGGAAAATTGATCAGTATACAGGGAAAAACAAAAAGTTTATTTTTTTTCAATGGATCACCCTATATATGTATTTTCGATTCCTTGTAAGCATATTTCATATAACATACCATATACCTAAATTCAACCGTTTCTGAAATATTTAAATTATTTTTAAGATAATAATTTGAAATAGTGTGTCTTCCTCTGTCTGAGCACGCCATTTTTACTTATTTAACAAGACATATTGACATAATGTCACTATAGTAACTTATTTTCAATAAAAATTTTGGTATACTGAAGCTTCTTGATTTCTAACAATTTAAAAAAACATTTATTGAACATTTCGAATGCGAATATTTCAGAATCGGTTGAGTTTAGGTATATGGTTTGTTATATGAATTATGTTCAGAATTTTACAATGAATCGAAAAATTAATTCATATATAGGGTGATCCATTGAAAAAAAATAAACTTTTTGTTTTTCCCTGTATATTGATCAATTTTCAATTTTTTTTATACGTAAAAAAAGTATTTTTTAGTACCTACATAACCACACTAAAAATAAAATGTTAAAGGGGGCGACATTATAGGGGATCACCCTGTACATCAATATTTTGCCTGGCGGAGCATAAAAAAATGTTTCTTCAAAACGAATCATCCTAGTATACATATATGTTTTAGTATTTTAGTGATTTCCTTTCTACTATTTTTCCATTGTAAATTCAATTTTCAAAGGTTTTTGTTTCATTACCTACTCTTAAAAACTGTAATTACCTAAAAATAAAATTTCAATAAATAACCCTGTAATTTCCCAGTAAACTTGTAACTTTCCCTAAACTAAATTGTTTTGTTTCCCTAGAGCCCGCCGCTTATCCGTTATCCTCCGAACGAGGCACCTGCGATCGTCCCCGTTCCGGCGCACAACCATCCGGACTATCGATCCGGTTCCGGGCGTGAACACGTTGATCCCGCTTCAAGCGGTAGTAAATAAACCGACGCCGTCACCTTGTGCACCATGTCGACGTCGAAGGCGACGAGTGTCGTCGCGACGGCCGATAACCAGCTGACGCCGCAGACGCCCGTCTTGAACGTGGCCTGCCGGATTTTGAGATCGCCTTCCCACGAGTCCGTCACCACGGACCTGTCCCTGTTCAGCGTGTCTTCCGCCGCGTCGGACGTTCACTGCGGCCGCAGGTTGCTCAACTTCAACAAATGTGATCAGTTCGTTAGGGGGCACAGCCCCAATCCTGAGACACGCGCCCACAACAGGTATGTTCGTTCATATTTTACCCCGTTACCTATTAATGTTTTCCAACTCACTCAAGCAAAACGTCAACGGTTTGCTCTTATATTTGTTAAAATTACTTTAAGGCGTTATTAAAATCTTTATAATTTATAATTTTATCATCGTCGACGAGAAGGACCCTGCGCCCTTCTGGCACCCGCAGCCCACTTGGGCCAACATAAAAATGAAATGTTTAAACGGAAATCCAACACAAAATCTAAAACTGTGATATACAGGGTGGCTCAAAATTTTGGAAAATTGAGTGTAACTTTTGAAATATCAAAAAGATTAAAAAATGATTTTAAAAAAAGTTGTTAAATAGTTTTTTTCAACTTTTAACTACACTGCGCACGAGAGCCCTGCACGGGCCGAATTTTTCAGGCCCGGTCCGGCCCTGGCCTGAAAATCAGTCACTATAGCCCGGCCCGGCCCGGCCCGGCCCGTAAAATAAATTATTAGGCCCGGCCCGGCCCGATTCAATTTTATATAAACCGGCCAAAAAATAACAATTTTTAGCCATAATACACGGTGTCCCTGAACGAAGTTTAGGTCACATAAAAATGACGCCAAAAACTGATCGCAGTTTCTTGTTCGGGACCCTTTGGTGACTTAAAAATGATATTTACCAAAATCCTAGCTGATCCTCTTTTCGAAATTTTTTGAAAATTCATGATTTTTTTTTTAATTTTTGTCTACCTTTGACAGAGTACACATATGTACACCGACTTTAATAATATTGGAGTATATTGTTAAGGAGATTTGGAGAATACTGTTTATACTGTTCACATCATTTAATATATACAGGGTTAGCCAAAAATTGCTTCTTTTAATAAAGCAAAAGCGTAAATTCATGATTTTGGCATAACACGCAAAAAAGATATATACCCACCCATGTTTTTTAGATATTTTTATGTTTATCAGGCTACAAAATGGGATTATTATCAAGACTTTATAAGAAAAATTGATTTTGAATAAAATTAAATAAAATAAATTTTTTTGGAGATAAATCTGTTTTGTGCATTATGCTTTTTACTAGGTATATAAAAACGTGATTTTTGGCTAACCCTGTATATATTAAATGATGTGCACAGTATAAACAGTATTCTCCAAGTCTCGTTAACAATATACTCCAATATTATAAAAATTGGTGTACAAATGTGTACTCTGTCAAAGGTAAGATAAACAAAAATTAAAAAAAAAATTAAGAATTTTCAAAAAAATTCGAAAAGAGGAGCAGCTAGGATTTTGTTAAATATCATTTTAAAGTTACCAAAGGGTCCCGAACAAGAAACTGCAATCAATAAAAATCGGTGTACAAATCTGTACTCTGGCAAAGGTAGACTTTGCGATAAACAAATAATTAAAAAAAAATGATTTTTTAACAAATTTAAAGAAAAGCAGTTAGAATTTTGGTAAATACCGTTTTTAAATCTCCAAAGAGTGCCGATCAAAAAACTTTAACCAGTTTTTCGTTCAAAATTGAAAACTTCTAAAAAGCCTAAATTAAACAACATTTTAAATATTCTCTAAGCGTTATTTTATTTAATTTTATTAAAAATCTATTTTTTTAATAAAAGGTTAATAAGAATGCCATTTTGTAACCTAATAAACATAGAAATATCTAAAAAAAAATGGGGATACATCTGCTTTGCTTGTTATGCCAAAATCATGAATTTACGCTTTTGCTTTATTAAAATTAAGCGATTTTTGGTCCACCCTGTATATATCAAATGATGTGAACATTATTAAAAAGTATTCTTTAAGTCTCCTCAATAATATACTCTAACTTTATAAAAATCGGTGTACAAATGTGTACTCTGTGAAAGGTAGACTTTGAAATAAACAAAAATTAAAAAAAAAATCATAAATTTTGAAATAATTTCGAAAAAAGGATAAGCTAGGATTTTGGTAAATATCATTTTTAATTCACCAAAGGGTCCCGAACAAGAAACTGCAATCAGTTTTTGGCGTCATTTTTATGTGACTTAAACTTCGTTCAGGGACACTGTGAATAAAGCTAAAAAAAGCTTTGTGATTTTTTAAGCTGTTTTATTTATGTAAATGTTAGGAACAAAATTTAGTTAATTAATAATTATTTATTTATAATAAATAAACTTAATAATAAAAAAATAACAAAAAAAACAAAATTTAAAGGTTGCTGTTTAAGAACAACAAAGCATACCTAGAAGAGAACTGCAAAATGTATTTTTTAACATGTTGGGTATAATAATTATTACGAAAAATTAATTATAGCCATAATATGTTATTATGCAGTTCTACAATATTCATTTTAAATATATATTTTTTAATTTTTTGTTTAAAAAAACGTTTCAAACTTTACATACAATGTATGTGTAAAAGAAGAAAAACTTTACCTTCTTGTACACATATAGAATAATTATATAATAATTATTTATTATAATAATATAATATAATATAAATCATATATAATCATAATTATATTTTATTATTAATAATAATAATAATAATATCCTTATTTAGGGGAAATTCCTAAATCGACAGACAAATACAGCGACCTTTTCGTAGAATGTCTAGATGGCCTAGAAACTTAGGCCGGCCCGGCCCGGCCCGATTTAAAAAAGTAGCGGTTCGGCCGAAGCCCGACCGGGCCCGACCGGCCCGTGCAGGGCTCTACTGCGCACCACTCAATGTGTCGACCAAAAATTTCGTCCTTTTTCAAAACGACATAACTTTTTTGTTTTTTGAACGATTTTATTTTGGTCTGTGTTGTCATCTAGCCCCATCCTCTGACAATTCATGCTATATATATGAAGCTTAAGGTTCTTCAAGTACATTTCCTACAGGGTGTAATGTTAAACGTTGAAAAATTTCAATAACTTCATTCAAGCCCCGTTTGTAAAAAAATATTTTTTCTCGTTTTTACTTTGAAATAATAAAGTATTATGTCTTATCTTGAAATTGTTTTCAACTTTTTCGAATTGGAATCTTCCCTAGTAGCAATGGAATTGGACAAGATTCTTTGTCAAGATACTTTGAGAAGCACTTTGTAAAGAATTGGACAATTCTTGACCAGGACTCTTGTTCAAAATTCTTTATCCCAACTGGTGGCAGACTTGGACAAGTCTGTGACCAGAATTTGACCAGATTCTTGGCCAAGAATTTTTACACGATTACACGTTAAATAGGAACTTTCAATTCAAGATTTTTGGTCAATACAAAATTTTGTTGAACTTCAAAAGTTAAGAATGTTACTAAAAACATTAATTTTCCACGTTTTCTTTCCAGTAAATTCGGTTTTTATCCATAAATCTGGTAAACAATAGAATTAAAAACGAAACAAATTTTGAAAGAGTTAAAGTTTTTAATTTTCTATGTTAAAAAAAAAACCAGGTGCCCGTAAAAATAAACATGTATTTTATAATCTTTCATGTTCATAAAGAGTAAACTCTAGTTATGCGTCAGAGCTGACACACACTTTTTTTTAATTTTTGATTTTTAGAAATAACAATTTTTATTTTTCAAAAAATCAATTTTTTTCTCAGCTAGAAGACGAATCCAATAAGCTCTTATTCGTATTTTCACATAAACAAAAAAACTATACTCATTTCCTACAGAGAACTCACTTCTCGATTGTGAATGATACTACTGTAGAATGAGAACCTCTACTCTATAGGATAGTCCCAAAGTTTAGCAATAGATGGCCTCAGATTTCTGGTCAAATTCTTGTCAAATTCTCAGTCTGGCTCAAGTCTTGTCCAATAATCTTGGCCAAGAATCTGGAACAATTCTTGTACAATTCTTGAGTAAAAATCTGTCCAAAGTATCTTGACCCATGCTGGGCCAAGACTTTTCCGGAATTGCTACTAGGGTTAGTAACGAAAATATGATTTTTTTCCAAAAGATTACATTTGAGGATTTTTGGTAGGCAATACACGAACAAGAAGATAGGATGGTAAAAGATTGTTTCTTAAATATTTCTGCATAAGCAACAAGCAACAAACTTCCGTTATTTTCAGAGGGGCCCAAGGAAAGACCACTTTTTCAAAATGACATTTTGGTAAAAATTTGCAAAAACTAAACCTGAACCGATATTTACGTTCGTGACATGTTTTCTTTATAATTTTGACCTCCTGATTGTGATTAAGTTGTCAAATTTAAGTTTCAAATAAAACTAAAATCACCAAGAATCCAAATTCGAAAACAATTCCCGGCTGTTAACACGTTAACTGCCATGTGTATGAAAAAAAATACACGTGAGTTGGGTCTATTGCGCCATGTGTATGATTTTGTATACACGCACAATAAAATTATTCTAGCCATGCGTATGTAAAGAAGGATGCATAACATGGGTTTTATATGTTAGAATGATCGTCGTGGAGTTGATGTACACCGGTAGAGACTTGACCGACATTTTTTGTTTAACATTTTTAAGATGACAAACCCTTCATTCAAAAGTATGTTTGTCAAAAATCGAGCCAAAAATTAAGTTTATGCGTAATAAAAATTTCGATGAGAAAAATGATAAAAAGATTTTATTTCCATCGAGTCAATGAAAAAATAACAATTAATTAACAAAATAATGCTGGACAAAAAATGGTAATAATAACAAATATTTATTTCTTTTATGTTATGTTGTGGGTTGCACGGGGGTAGAAGGGGGTAAAATAATAAAAAAAAATGGAGCTAATGTATTATAGAAATTGTAGAATATTTTTATTGAGAATTAAAAGCTAAAAACATGGTGGCCCAGCGGACCTTACTTGTAAAAAACTCATGGCAGTTAACGTGTTAAATGTCTTAATAACATGCCATTGCCAATGCCATTTGGGGATTCATTTTTTGGGCGAAATTACTGCAATTTGTTTAAGTGGTTAGGAAAATGTTACATAACTTACATTGCGCACTAGTGATAACTAGGGATGGGATATTTAGGTACTAAAAACTGAAAAATAGTTAACTAAAAAGGTACTAAAAAAAAGCATTTTAGGTTAAAAAAAACAGC